TCCTCTTTCCAGCTTACACTTCTCGATATCTATAGGCCCCTTCCCGTGTAGTCGGTGTTACCTTCAGGGATTTTAATCTGTTGCACTGGTCCTTTCTGAAGCGGTTCCCTTTGTTTATTTGGCTTCTGTTTGCCGTCTCTTTGGTGTCTAATTTCCGCCCTGACACAGGCGGGCGGAGGTGATCTCTTATTTAGGTTCTCTAGTTCAGTTCAGTCCTGCTACGGGGAGGGCGGGGCGCTGCAGACAGATACCGCTCTGTGTGGATAGCACTCACCGGCCACACTGGGTTTGCCCCACTCACGGGTGTCAGTGCTTTCTCCGTCTACACTGCTCAGGCTCCCGGGTGCTCTATATGGAGCGGGCCCTGCGTTGAGTGCGGTTCCAGGTTTCGGGTACTCCACAAAAGCGCAGATTCGGTTGCGCCTGCGTTTTGTGCCTTCCCCGGCCTGAGCGGTTCAGGCAGCCAGAGGCTTGGGCGCACTCTCCCCAGGTGTGGTGCGCCTTTTCCCTCCGCGGCAAGTGGCTCAGGCAGCCAGAGGCTTGGGCGCACTCTCCCCGGGTACAGCGTGCTTTTTCCCTCCGCAGTGCCAGCGCGCGCCGCCAGTCGGGTCTCAGGAAGTCTTTAGATAGGAACCGGGGGCCTGTTTGCAGTGTGGGAGGGGGTGGCTTCTCAGGGGCTGAGTTTGCCCTTTTCCCCTCCCCCCTGCCTCCTGCCTCCAGCAGGGATGGGCCGGCTCTTCTCTGGAGTTTCTCAGTCCCTTTGTTTTGCGAACCGCCGGCAGTGTGTTCGGGCCAGTTAATTTTGACCCTTGCTATCCCACAGTTTAAAAAAGCTCCCTCCGATTGCTCTCAGGGTCTTCGGGCCGGTCCTTACCCTAAGCAATGCCGCCCGCTCCTCTCCGTTCCGCCCCGCTTGTTGCTGGCGGGTACGGGCATCTGGGGTACTTTTCTGCTGGGAGTTGCTTTTAGACACATAATCTGTAGGCCTTGTTTAATTTTTCCTCCCAGTTAGATTGCCGAAAACTTCCCCCAGTCCCGCCAGTGCGAGGGTTTCCTGGTGATTGGAAACTTCCTCTATTAAGACTCCCTTCCGGGGACGGGTCTCCGTCCGTAGCTCTTTTGACTCCCTTTTTATCTTTTATATTTTGTCCTACCTCCCTTCGAAGACAATGGGCTGCTTTTCTGGGCGCCTGATGTCCTCTGCTAGCGATCAGAAGTTGTTTTGTGAAATTTGCTCAGCGTTCAAATGATCTTTCAATGAATTTGTAGGGGAGAAAGTGGTCTCCCCGTCCTGTTCCTCTGCCATCTTGGCTCCTCCTCCCAAATGTATTCTAAATAAAGATATTACACATATGAACACACAGTTGCTCTCACTGCTACATATACATAGTCCAGTTCAGTTGGTCAATCGTGTCTGACTCTGCGACCCCATGGACTGCAGCATGCCAGGCCTCCCTGTTCGTCACCGACTCTTGGAACTTACTCAAACTCATGTCCATGGAGTCGGTGATGCCATCCAACCATCTCATCTTCTGCGGTCCCCTTCTCCTCCTGCCTTCAATCTTTTCCAGCATCAGGGTCTTTTCAAATGAGTCAGTTCTTCGCATGAAGTGGCCAAAGTATTGGAATTTCAGCTTCAGCGTCAGTCCTTCCAATGAACACCCAGGACTGATCTCCTATAGGATGGACTGGTTGGATCTCCTTGTAGTCCAAGGGACTCTTAAGAGTCTTCTCCAACACCACAGTTCAGAAGCATCAATTCTTCAGCACTCAGAATTCTTTATATTCCAACTCTCACATCCATACATGACGACTGGAAAAACCATAGCCTTGACGGATCTTTGTTGGCAAAGTAATGTCTTTGGTTTTTAATATGCTGTCTAGGTTGGTCATAACTTTCCTTCCAAGGAGCAAGCGTCTTTTAATTTCATGGCTGAAGTCACCATCTGCAGTGATTTTGGAGCCCAAGAAAGTAAAGTCTGACACTGTTTCCACTGTTTCCCCATCTGTTTGCTATGAAGTGATGGGACCAGATGCCACGATCTTAGTTTTCTGAATGTTGAGCTTTAATCCAACTTTTTCACTCTTGTCTTTCACTTTCATCAAGAGGCTTTTTAGTTCTTCACTTTCTACCATAAGGGTGGTGTCATCTGCATATCTGAGTTGATTGATATTTCTCCCTGCAATCCTGATTCCAGCTTGTGCTTCATCCAGCCCAGCGTTTCTCGTGATGTACTCTGCATATAAGTTAACCCAAACACATACACACATACTTACCAAAAGCCATAAGGTGGAATTCATCTTCTAGGAACCTTCTCTACCAGGCTGATTGAGTGACAGACTAAATACCCTACCGAAAGCAATTTATCTAAGCCACTTGGTCCTCCGCAGCCCAGTTTCCTGAAGCTAAAGTCTCCACAAGCCCAAACACAAAGAGAACTTCATAAATATCTTAACAAAGTATAAATTCCTATTTGGAATCCTCACATCTGTATATTCCAATAAATTATTCACTTATACATCTTCCAAAAGAATACAGATTCTGTATAATATCAGTTGTTAGAATTTTATAATCTTTTGGTTTTATTTATAGCAGGATAACAGGGTTATAAGCAAGACCAGAATAAAGGACTAGACTGAATTTGGGCAGTGTGTAAATAGTTTTGTTTCAGGTTAACTCCCTGCACTCAAACACATTCATCCCTGAGAAGGAAACTTGTGTCTATGTCCTAGGACTGTCCTGTGGGAGAAATCTCAATATTTTATTTTATTTTTTTTTTCCTTTTTGGTGGTGACACACGAGCATTTTCCCCAAGTCCAGTCTTTTATACATACACACACACACACACACACACATATGTATGACAAGATATATATATGTATGTATATAGTGTTTCTGGGAATCAAGTCAGATCTGCTAATATAATTAACACCTAACATCAATTCACAGTTAATCCCATCTACTCTCCTTTGGTGCCCTGATCACTTCTGCTCATGGAAAAACAGGGAAAAGTCAGTTTGCAAAGGAAGTTTGGCATTTAGAGCTTACTTCTATATCCTTCTCAATATATCTTATCTTCAGCTGACTCATTAATATTAAATGAAATAAATAACAGTGAACCAGCCTTCCTTGTTTGCAAACACACTCCTGTAAAGAATATTAAAAACAAATTACTTTGTTGTTTTGTTTTGTTTTTTACTATTTGATGTTAGATTGGATACCATGAAACTTCATGAGTAAAGAATTTTGTTATTTGACATTGCTAAATGCAAGAGAGATGGGTTAAAATGTTATCCCACTCAGAATATGTTTATAGTCTCTCTGCTACTAAATATTCCTGCAAGTGTGGTACACTTGGTATTTTTTTTTTCCTGGTGAAATCTTGTGGCAAAGATTATCTCATTAGAGAAACCATTTTCACAAAGAATGTGAGGTTCGACAAGATTCTCCAATATTGGAATTATATAACTTTGATGATACAGACATTTTAGAAAACCATATGGCAGTAACTTAAAAAAATTAAACATGCTTTTACCACATGAGCAAGCAATTCTACTCATACTCGAGACATGTGAAAATATGTGTCATCCAGAATGTATGCATACCAGTTATTCATAATAGGCAAATATGGAATAGCTACTCAAAATCATAAAAGCTAAAAATCAGAAGCATCCTAAATATTGCTCATTGAAATGATGAGTAGACCAGAAATTGCATGTCATGAAATGCTACTTAGCTGTAAAGACAAACAGGATGGATGCATCTCAAAAGCATTATGGTATATAAATTAAATCAAATACAAATGTGTATGTACTGTATGATTTTATTTAAATGAAATTCTTAAAAGGCATAGTTACAGTGACAACCTGTCTGTGGTTTCCGGGAACCATGGAGATGGGAAAGGATCAAGTATAAAGAGTCTTAAGGAAACTGGAGGGTTGTCTGGGTTTGGTGGTACAGTTACCGAAAGCTTTCGACTTCTGACTTAAAAGTGATGAATTTTATTAACTATAAATATTGCCTTAAGCAACAAAAGAGAAGGAAAAATTAAGTGAGTTTGTCTTGATACCTGTTATGAGTTTCCCAGAATAGTAAATGATTTGTGGAAGAACAGGTGCTTTATTTCATATCAAGAAGGATATGAAATATCCTTCATCTTCAAACAGCTCAAATACAATAAAATCTTTAAATTTCTATATAATAGAAGGTGTAAAACACTTTATACATGTTGGATAAAAACATGTGCAAGAAACATCTGGTTCAATTTTATAGGTTTATACTTATAGGTATTTTTTGTAGCTTATAAATATAATTATTTTGTAAACTTCTTTGTGAGTGAACTATATTAGTGAGATATTTCAAAATGCAAATGTGTTCCTTATATCTAGCATATTGAGATAAAGAAGCGGCCTGAAAATCTCTTTTGTTGAAATGAATGATGGTCAGTAATTAGCAGCATTTATTGATATTTAAATTCTACTTGTTTTCATTCTACACTACTTACCAGTCATTCATCCTAATGAATTTTGAAAAAGTTAAAAAAAATGCCAAGACAGCACTTTGCAAGAAAAGTATCTGGTCTCTTAGATAGCAAAAATGTTAAGTCCACCTTATGATAAATGGATTATATTCCTTTAAAGATTGCCTAAAGGTTTGAATTCACAATACATCTATCTCACAGGTGAATCAGATTCAAGTAATCAAAAGCTTGTCAATGCTATTGCTTTTCTATCTTTCCTGCATTTAAAATAGTAACAGTCAGCAATAGCTTTTTCCCTTTAAAGTTTTCTAGTTCCAGGTAGAGTATATTTATAACAAGAAATCAACTATATCTTTCCATGAATACTACTTCAGGATCATGTTTTAAATCTGTTTCTGCAGTTTCTATGTCTTTGCCTAGATACATTTATTAAAAATGTCATCACAACATGTACTGCACATAAGAATTAATATTCTTTTTCAATCCTTTCTCCTTTTAATCATAATTATTCTGTTTCAGAAATTATACTGTCATCAATTCCAAAATCATCGTGGTCACCATAAGGCCTGAACCCAAAACAACTGATTCATTCCTGGAGATAGAGCTAGCTCATTTGGCTAATGTAAGTATCTTTCATTTAGCTTTGAGTTTCTTATAGAATTGACCTTTTAAAGAGGTTAATAGTCATTCTGTTGACTAATAAGACCAGAACACATTTTCTAAACTCTTCAGAGTTGCAAATGAATTTATCTGTTATGAAGATATATGTTATGTAAAAACAAAATGACATATTACCCTATGTTTTTGTTCCTAATAAAACTCTCAGTTTCTCCAATATAATACTTAATAGTTTGTCAGTGCCTACATCTTTCTTGGGCTCTAAGCTAGGCAATGGGGGCTGTCAAGATGGGAACCAATCTCACTACCTAGTGAAGAAGACTATGATGTAAGATGCATGCAGCAATAGAAGCTACAGACAGACGTAATGCAAAAGGGAGGGCTGTCCTGCAGGGTAGCCCAGGGTTGGAGAGAGGGGGGAGTGGCTTTTTAAAGTTCTACACTCAGGATCAGAGGAGGCTACTTGCAACTACCTGGGTGTTGCAGTGATCAAAAGCCAAATCTTCCATCTAGAATGACAAGAATTCATCCAACTGCAACTGAAGTTCTTCAGACCTTGTTTAGGCCATATACAGAAATCTAAAACATATACTTATTCTTTATACATTCACCTCAGATACCTAACTCATTGATTTCAGGGGCAAAGAAGGTAATTCCTATTAAGCTGTCTTAATTGTGCTTTTACAATGCCTGCATTCAAGTAAGACCATCTCCTATGTTGCACATACATAGTTCTTTTTTTATTGTTCCTTGCAAATTTTCTATGTACTTGGCTTTTACAGACAATTAATGAAAGCACAAAGTGATTGTCATTTCCCCAAAGTGAATGACATAATGGAATTTATTCCCACATCCTTTAGTTATAAAACCTAGTATTTTATAATTTCTGATGTTAAAGAACTCAGATTCATTTTATTAAAAAATGACAATCATCTTTCCTATAAACCAGTTTTTAAAAAGCTGTTCTGGCTTCTTAGATTGTTTAATGAAAACCTCACATCTCTCAGCACTGATTTTTAAACATTATGATTAATATTTTAACTATCAGGTCTTTTCCCACTTTTGCCAAAATGTGTCCATACTTGTTCTGTCTAACTTTGACAATGTGTTTTATTTCTATTATATGTACTTCTTCATAACTTATAATGGCTCTAATATCACTACTGAATTGAAAACTAAGAAATACTTTCAATGTTATTTTTGAATAAGGAGATTGCTTCTTTGCTTGTTCAACATATATTTTAAAATATTTATTTACATATTTGTCTATATATTTTTATCATGATAATGTCTATTGAGTTATAAGCATTGGTGAAGAATATTAAGACATATTAATTGACTGCATTGCTCCTTGTTTCTTAGGGAGAAAAACTATAAATGAGCATTCACAAAACTTGCCTAAATAAAGATTAAATCACTATTGAGAACTCAAAGAACATGTTAATTAAATGACATTTTTCTCATAAATTGAAGAAAGATTAACTTTAAAATAGTGTTGATAAAACAATCTCAGTATTTCAATTGAATAGAACTATTTGAAATGAACATATTTGAGCTTTGAGTCACACTTTTCTGGCAGCATATTTTGTCAATTCAATTTCAAAGAGATACAGTGCATCTAAAAAGTTATTTTCTACATATGGAAACTAGAGTATATGGTCAATACATTTTATGAAGCCCCAGCTAGATTCTGGAGTGGCAGTGAATCAGCGTATAAATGTGATGAGCTGATTACCACAAGTCACTGAGAATTGGTTCTTTCAGTATTTTGAGTAAGTGAGTTGACCAGATTTCCAAAACAATACTATCCCACCGCCAAAGGCCTGGATCTGAGAGAATATAGATAAATCTGTTACACAGAGGGGCTGAGGGAGAAGAAGAGACATTTACTCTGGAGAACAAATGCCTCCTCGAGGCATTCCCATGCTTGTCGGTCCTGGGTCAGAGCAGCACCCACCTGTGCGTGTCCTCAGAGACGCCTGACTCCAGGCCCCATGGTGGAGATGCTCTTGCTGCTTCGTTGCTGGTCTTTCCTCTACTTTATAAATCCCTCCCACACATACTTCTTCACGCTCTACTGCTTGAAGTTTCCGTGCTTGTTGTATTTATACTCACCATGCAAATTAGATTATATTAAAGACTTTATTGGTCACTGAGGGAAGGAATATATGTCCGGTTTATTGAATGTCTTATAAAGTATATTCTTTATTTTCATTGATGAGATAGTCAAAAGAGCCTAAGCTGGCATAAAATATTCTTCACTAAAATGTGGAGAAAAGATATATCTCAAACATGAAAATTAAAGTGGATTACAACAAACACAAGTTTCATTATAACTATATTGACACAGATATATTATCACTGTTATGGCCTTCAAAGTTGACCTGTTTCAAATATGACATCTTGCTAATATCAAAACTGTCTACTTTTACCTGTTTTCTTATACCAAATGTATCTGCTGCACTTTACTAAGCTCAGCAGAGAATAATGACTTACAAATATTATCTGTTGCATATACCATGTGCAGGAAAAGGAAGAATGAAAATTAATAGTTCTAATGAGTCTAGGGAAAAGCCTGTTAGTGTTTTTTTTTTTTTAAGTGTTCTTTAAAAAAAACAAACAAACAGGCTTTTTAACAAGTAGCATTTAAAGCATGGTATGTATAATGAGACCCTTGGGAACTGGTAGGACTAGGTAATAGAACGTGGAATCTTGAAATTCCATATTGCATTCAGCAAAGCCATTTGCAGTTTTAACCAGCTCATAAGTCATTAAAGATTTATGTCTATAATTACTGGATTAGGAATCTATTCATGATATTTTGGGAAATAAAAATTAAGTTGTTAAAAAAAAAGAGACTATTTTTAGTTCAGTTTTCTAGGCTCATGACTTTATTATTATAATTTGCAGAGTCCGGTTTTGTGGTCTTTAGCACTTGAACACAGAAATTGCTTGATTATTAGAAATACCAAATTTGCTTTTCAGAAAAAAGTAATTTTGTTTTCCCTATTATATTACTTAAGTATTGTTAGACTCCATAATGTGCAAGGAAAGTTAATACATTTATTGAAAGTAATTATTGGGACCTAAATAAGGGGAGTCGAGTGGGTTTGTAAGTGCACACATAAGGAAACACACACATACACACACATACACCGACAAGTAGGATGCCTTGGTGGGTGTCAGCAGGCCTTGACAGATCTGGGCCTGCTGAATTTCCAAGATATATAACATCCTTATCTTTAAGGATGAGTTAGAAGAATTTTAGTTTTCTTGTGCTCTATCAGCTTTGCAAGCCTGCAGTCCCCTTTTTCCAAACAAAATGTCTTAATAGAGTTCCATTTCTGGTAGATGGATAGATTGACCCACACTAGCCTGCAGTCTCTGCAGTCAATTTTTGTCTTTACTTTTCTTTCTTTCCCTGAGTAATAGCTTTCATGGTCCAGGTATGGTGAACCTGCTATCTTTCAGTATTAAGAAAAATCTACTGGGTTTATTTAGAGTTCTCAAATTGGTCATATTTACAAATGATCTCATGGGAAGCAGGCTTGTAGGTTTTATTTTCTTTGCCACATTTGCTTGTATACTAATAGGATCTACCTAACAAATTAAGGAGTTTGTTTTATGTTTATAAACTAAAATTAGTCATGAGCCATGGCCTTTGTAAATCATCGTGGAAAACACACTGGAAAACTGTGATGAATATGCTTTTTACCATGAGGGAGTATGAGAAACAATGAAGAGAAATCCCCACATTCATTAGTGGATATTTTCATGAACAGTACAGGCCAATAACAATCCAAGGAATTGAAACTCACTTGGCAAAGCTTAAGAATGCATTCAGTCTATGCGTTTGTAATTTCCACAGAGAGATATTTGTATCCCTTTACTTTTTAAGTTACTTTTCTACCCTAGCTTGTGTCCAGTTGGAAGAGATTTCTGATGTTTTGCCCGCCCAAAACTCTTGGTAGTTTTAATGGGAGAGTCTTGAAATGCTAACTAGACAAGCAGATTGATGGTTCTGCCAGCAGCTAAAACTGAGATATAAATTATTCTCTAGCTACAGTTTTTTTGGTTATATCCTAAATTCCTAAACTTGAGTAAGCATTCTTCCCACTTACATTTCAAATTCAGTTTATTTTTACTCATAATACAACATCGTTATTCTTCTAAAAGGTTTTAGACTAATTATGCTATTGTTGGAGCAAACATTTTTTGTTGAATCAGGCATTTTGAGCATATGAGTTTTAATGGTCCTTGTCAAATCTACTCAGTTATGCTATTGTAGTGTGACAGCAACCATAGAGTGTATGTAAAAATGGGTGTGGTTCTGTTACAATAAAATATGATTTACCAAAGTAGGTAGCAAGCCAGATTCAGTCCCTGGAATGCATGTATTATCACCCCCTGTATGGTAAAGAGAATGTGACCCAACCAGGATGCCCACGTCCTAACCCCATAACTTATGAATATATTATAGGCCAGAAGGGAATTTGCAGATGTGATTAAGGGTAAGAATGCTGAGATGGGGCAAATATCCTAAATTATGTGAGTTGGTCCAATTCACATGAACCTTTAAAACTGGAAAGCCTTTCTCAGCTATGGTCAGAGAGATGCAAGGTAGTAAGGACTCAACCTGCAATCGCTGACTTTGAAGATGAAGGAATATGACCGAAAACCAAGGAATATGGGCAGACTCTAAAAGCTGAAAACAAGCCCTGGTTGTCAGCAAAGAAGAAAGCATAGACTTAGTCCTACAATCGTAGGAGCTCAGTTCTGCTGAGACCTGAATGAACCTCGATGCGGATCCATCCCCGAATCCAGAAAGGATTGCAATCCTGTCAGCATTCCAGCCTTGTGAATCTCTTGAGCAGAAATCCAGCTGAGTTCACAAAGACTCCTGACACAGAGAAACTGTGAGATAATAAATTTGTGTTGTTCTATGCTGCTAAGAGTGTGTTAATTCATAGTAGCAGCAATAGAAAACTAATAACCTGTATTTGC